GAATAAAATCTAAAACAGTGTGAGATATGAAAGACATTTTGTTATTTTCCAACTTCTGCATGGCACACAGTGGATGTCATAATATGGTTAGCTTTTATAGCAATAAAACACACATATTTGTATTCAAATCTCAAGAGTACAACAGTAAACCCCCATGTACAGGTTTTATGGTGTTTTGGAAAATTACAATCTCTTGAGTTTCTGCCTGGGTTGTCAGGTAGGTTCCTAAAATTATAATTATAAAAAAAATTACATTTAATAAAATTACATTAGGTATAGTTACAAACTGTCCCTTTTTTGCCAGGACAGTCCCAGCAAGCTGGAGTCTGTCTGGGGCAATTTACTCTCCCGGGACAGTCCCGGCAGCTTGCAGGGCCATGTTCTTTTTATTATGTTCCATCGGACTGTAACAGGCTGTTACAGTCCTAGTGAATTCCAGAGAGTGGTGCTGGGGAGATGCTGGGGGCTGCATTGAGGTGCTGGGGGCTGGAGAGAGGCTGCTGGGGGACGGAGGGAGCACTGACAGTCTCCCTTCCGAATTCCCAGCAGCTTCCCCGGGACACAGGCTGCTGCTCTGCCTTGCGGACATAGGCTCCGCCTCATGATGCAATGAATGCAAATTAAGTTTCTCCCATGTCTGCAAGCCCTGCCTCCCACAAGCCCCACCCCGCCCCTGCAGCAGACTTTGCTGCAAGAGTAAGAGGCCAGAAAATGTCTACCTGACCTCCCACCAACAGCCTCCAGTGCCAGGTAGGCTTAAAATACTCATTTTAAGCCTACCTGGCACTGGAGGCTGTGTGAATGTATTGCATTTGTTGGAGGTACCAATAAATATAAACTTAATTTTATCGATAATTGTAATTGTTCTGTGAGTTGTATAGGAAGGGCCCCAGTGCACGGCTTTGCCCTGGGGCCCATAACGCTGTTAAGATGGCACTGCTTGTGTGTGTCAGTAAGCTTATCTGTAGTGAGCATGTGTGTGTCAGTGAGCTTGTGTGTCAATGACCTTGTATTTAGTGAGCTTGTGTGTGTCAGTGAACTTGTATTTAGTGAGCATGTGTCACTGAGCTTGTAGTAAGCTTGTGTGTGTCACTGAGCTTGTCTGAAGTGAGCCTTGTGTGTCTATACAAGTGAGTTTTGTCTGTCAGTGAGCCTATTTGTGTATATCAGTCAGTTTGTGTTTGTCAGTGAACTTGTTTGTCTTGTCTTGTGCTTTGTATTCCCAGTGTGGCGCTTTGTGTCAGGGGTGGTGTGTGTGTGAGAGATGCTGAATGTGGGTGTGAGGGATGCTGAGAGCGTGTGTGTGTGTCAGAGGTGCTTTGTGTCACAGGTGCTGTGTGTGTGAGGGGTGCTGTGCCCTGTCGGTCAGGTGGTAGTGAGTTGTCTATAGCCTGCAGGTCCTCTGGCTGCAGGTAGTCTGCACTCCTCCCGTGAGCAGAATGCTGTGTCAGAGCATTGCCATGGTAACGTGCGGTACAGCATGCTCACAAGAGGAGCATGTTTCCCAGGTCCTCCCTTCCTCAATGTCACTAACGAGGGCCCACAGCAAGAAAGCAGGTCTCCTATGTTGGCCTGGGCACATGGGCATCAAGATGAGGCCCCCATACTTGTGGAACACCTGGGCAACTGCCCAGTGTGCCCGTGCGGAAAGACTGCCATGCACACAAGCTCACTAAATGCAAGCTTGATGACACACACAAGCTCACTGATGCACACACATATACGTTCACTACAGACAAGCTCACTGACACACACACACTCTCATTACAAAGAAGCTCATTGACACACACACAAGCTCACTATAAACAAGCTCACTGACACACATACAAGCTTTCTCACTAGCAGGCAGGCACACACACATCAACAGCCTCCAGGGCCAGGTAGGCTTAAAAGACTTAGCCATGTGTGTGTGTGCCCTTACTGATTAAAAAGCTTGTGTGTGTGTCAGTGAGCTTGTCTGTAGTGAGCTTGTGAGTGTCATCGAGCTTGTATTTAGTGAGCTTGTGTGCATGGGCACCCTGGGCAGTTCTGTGTGTGTGAGGGGTGCAGTGTGTGACTGGTGCTGTGTGTGTGTGCGCGAGGGTTGCCAAGTGTGTGTATTCATTGTACTAATATAGAGGATTACCTTTACCTCTATTTATTGTCCGTCCGGACCTACTAATTACCCGTACCCCACTCGCTCCCTACCATCTATTTACTTTGGGGACTATAGGGGGTGTCACAATCGAGACTGTAGGTATTTTGTCGGTTAGCATCCCGACTAGTTTTTAGTTCGGGTTTCACTGCCGACCATTGTTCCCAGATACCCCGTTATACACCCTGTATATTAGTGGTTTCGTTCTCCCAAATCGATGTTAAGCAAGTTTAGCGCTTCTCTGAATCTCTTACCCTAATTAGGCAGCAACTGCACGTGCAGTTATATTTTTTGCTACACTAAAGGGTTAATTTGGAGTCTATCATTCTAGTGGCTACACGCTGCTTACTTATGTTTTACTTTGCACAACCTTTCTGATACAATGTTGCATACAAGCTGTCAGCAACTGTTATAAACAAGCTGGTAACGATCAGTCACGCATCCGAATCTATACCAACATTTAAATGGTCACTACATGTGACATGATCAATACTTTGCACAATAGCAGATGATCCTATTTTAATATTATTATCACTGTATATACACTGTGTACTTCCCCCCAAAAAATTTTTTACACTATTTTCAGTTTGGGATTTTCGTTGTTTCTTTTCCCTAAGAGGGACCAATAAAGTTTATTTATCATTATTTATTCCTTTTAGTTCTACTTATGCTCCATGACTAGCAATTTATGGCTCTACATTAGCGGAACAGTCATATTCAGGGTATAGACACTGTAATTGGGAGCACTTCTTAGTTAACCCATTCCAGCAATATCCTGGGACAGTCGGTATTCCCTGTATAATACAGGCCTGTGTATAATATCCCAGCACAGTCAGTGCTCCCTGTATAGTGCTGCTCTCTGTATAATACAGGCTTGTTTGTGTATAATATCCCTGGACAGTCAGTGATCGCTGTATAATACAGGGTTGTGTGTATTTTGGGACAGTCAGCGGTCCCTGTACAGTGCTGCTCTCTGTATAATACATGGCCGTGTGTATAATATCCCAGCACAGTCAGTGCTCCCTGTATAGTGCTGCTCTCTGTATAATACACATATAATACCCGCAGACTTCAGGAACTAGAAGAATCAGAAGCAGTGGAGTGGTGACTGAAGCCTCAATCTGAGACATTTAACATGTTGAACTGGTGGCATGAAAAGGGGATAATGGAATATGTGCATATGTGTTCCTTTTGCTCCCATTTCTCTCATAAAATTCATTTTGTAAATTCTCCATTTATATATTTTATTTCCTATTTTCATTTTTTGTTTGGTTTTTACTATATTCACTCCCCAATATAATTATTTTTGTGAATAATTATATTGTTTTATGGCAGGGGTAGGCAACCTTTTAATAGCACTGTGCCAAAATAGGATTGTGGTTTCCCGTAGTGTTTTTTAAATTGAGGGGTGTATGTTACCGTATTCTGCTTGTGTTATTTATACTGTAGTTGCTTTGTATCGTTGATTTTGTGCGTATATGAGCTATTATGTTGTATATGTTCACTAGTTGTTTTCTGTATCGTATAGGATACTTATGAATGTGGGCTCTGTAGGGGGGCTGCTTGTGGAATTGTGTGTGAGGATGGATCTGTCACACTGTGTGTTTGGTAGTGTATATGTGGGGCTGTTTGGGGTATTGCATGTGAGAGGCTGCACGTGGGGTTGTGTGTATGTACGTGGATTGTTAGGTGTTTTACGTTTGTGCGGATTGTGTGCATGTTTGTGTGTGGGCTGTTCATATTATTTCTATGAGGGGAGGGTTATTCTGCATTTCTGTTTATATCTAGCAGTGTGGGTGGCTTCCCTGGAGTCCAGTGGGGGCCAGGCTGGACGTGGGCTGCTGTACTACAATGTGAATTCCCATTCACAGGTGCTAGAAGGAAGTGATCTGATATCACTTCATCTATGTGCTGCAATGCAGAAATTGAGGATTGTCCTTCACAACCTTTTCGTATTAGCAGATATCTAAAGTTTCACTGGGACTCCTGATAGGCCAGAACCTGTTTGGCTCTAGCAGCCTTGAGTGCCGTGCAAAGGCACCTTGACTGGTGTGCAGATTTTTGTTTAATATTGTAATATATATATATATATACAGGGAGTGCAGAATTATTAGGCAAGTTGTATTTTTGAGGATTAATTTTATTATTGAACAACAACCATGTTCTCAATGAACCCAAAAAACTCATTAATATCAAAGCTGAATATTTTTGGAAGTAGTTTTTAGTTTGTTTTTAGTTTTAGCTATGTTAGGGGATATCTGTGTGTGCAGGTGACTATTACTGTGCATAATTATTAGGCAACTTAACAAAAAACAAATATATACCCATTTCAATTATTTATTATTACCAGTGAAACCAATATAACATCTCAACATTCACAAATATACATTTCTGACATTCAAAAACAAAACAAAAACAAATCAGTGACCAATATAGCCACCTTTCTTTGCAAGGACACTCAAAAGCCTGCCATCCATGGATTCTGTCAGTGTTTTGATCTGTTCACCATCAACATTGCGTGCAGCAGCAACCACAGCCTCCCAGACACTGTTCAGAGAGGTGTACTGTTTTCCCTCCTTGTAAATCTCACATTTGATGATGGACCACAGGTTCTCAATGGGGTTCAGATCAGGTGAACAAGGAGGCCATGTCATTAGATTTTCTTCTTTTATACCCTTTCTTGCCAGCCACGCTGTGGAGTACTTGGACGCGTGTGATGGAGCATTGTCCTGCATGAAAATCATGTTTTTCTTGAAGGATGCAGACTTCTTCCTGTACCACTGCTTGAAGAAGGTGTCTTCCAGGAACTGGCAGTAGGACTGGGAGTTGAGCTTGACTCCATCCTCAACCTGAAAAGGCCCCACAAGCTCATCTTTGATGATACCAGCCCAAACCAGTACTCCACCTCCACCTTGCTGGCGTCTGAGTCGGACTGGAGCTCTCTGCCCTTTACCAATCCAGCCACGGGCCCATCCATCTGGCCCATCAAGACTCACTCTCATTTCATCAGTCCATAAAACCTCAGTCTTGAGTTATTTCTTGGCCCAGTCTTGACGTTTCAGCTTGTGTGTCTTGTTCAGTGGTGGTCGTCTTTCAGCCTTTCTTACCTTGGCCATGTCTCTGAGTATTGCACACCTTGTGCTTTTGGGCACTCCAGTGATGTTGCAGCTCTGAAATATGGCCAAACTGGTGGCAAGTGGCATCGTGGCAGCTGCACGCTTGACTTTTCTCAGTTCATGGGCAGTTATTTTGCACCTTGGTTTTTCCACACGCTTCTTGCGACCCTGTTGACTATTTTGAATGAAACGCTTGATTGTTCGATGATCACGCTTCAGAAGCTTTGCAATTTTAAGAGTGCTGCATCCCTCTGCAAGATATCTCACTATTTTTGACTTTTCTGAGCCTGTCAAGTCCTTCTTTTGACCCATTTTGCCAAAGGAAAGGAAGTTGCCTAATAATTATGCACACCTGATATAGGGTGTTGATGTCATTAGACCACACCCTTCTCATTACAGAGATGCACATCACCTAATATGCTTAATTGGTAGTAGGCTTTCGAGCCTATACAGCTTGGAGTAAGACAACATGCATAAAGAGGATGATGTGGTCAAAATACTCATTTGCCTAATAATTCTGCACTCCCTGTATATATATATATATATAAATGATAAATAAGAAGAGCACTCCAGAGGACTTGTTTAAATAGGTTTTATCGGTGTATAAACAAAATCGACGTTTCGACCCGCAGGTCTTTATCCTGCGGGTCGAAACGTCGATTTTGTTTATACACCGCTAAAACCTTTTTAAACAAGTCCTCTGGAGTGCTCTTCTTATTTATCATTTTTCTATTTATCCGCGCTCTGCAGCACCGAGGCTATTTTTGGATGACTATTATTTCAAGGTAGAGTGCCAGATTTTGTGTGTGTATATATACACAATATATACACTATATATATATATATATATATATATATATATATATATATATATATATATTGTGTTATTTATATAGCGCCATCGAATTCCGCAGCGCTTTACAATGGGTGGACGAACAGACATGTAGTTGTAACCAGACAAGTTGGACACACAGGAACAGAGGGGTTGAGGGCCCTGCTCAATGAGCTTACATGCTAGAAGGAGTGGGGTAAAATGACACAAAAAGGTAAGGATAGTATTAGACTAGTGACCGTTGCAGAAGAGGAATCAGTCAGGAGCTATTAACAGTTTAATTGATACGCTTTTATGAATAAGTGGGTTTTTAATGATTTTTTAAAGGAGTGGAGACTCGGTGAGCATCTAACGGAGGAGGGAAGAGAGTTCCGCAGGAACGGACAGAAGGGTGAGGCATGGGAAGTGGGCAGCCATCCAGTTAGAAATAGCAGAGAGGCAGTCAGAGACACTAGTCAAGAGGGACGGGGAGAGATCAGGAGAGGACAGGTAGATTTGCGCATCATCTGCATAGAAATGATATTGGAAGCCAAAGGAGCTAATGAGTTTACCAAGGGAGACAGTATAGATGGAGAACAGTAGGGGACCAAGGACTGAACCTTGATGGACACCAACGGAGAGGAGTTGGGGAGAAGAAGCAGAGCCAGAGAAAGAAACACTGAAAGAGCACTGGGAGAGGTAGGAGGAGCACCAGGAGAGAGCAATATCTTGTAGACTGATATTGCGGAGGATGAGAAGAAGCTGTTGATCATCAACAGTGTCAGAAGCCGCAGACAGGTCAAGGAGAATTAGGATAGAGTAGTGGCCACAAGATTTTGCAGCGAGTAGATCATTGGATACTTTGGTCAGTGCCGTTTCCACAGAGTGCTTAGCTCAGAAACCAGACTGAAGCGGGTCTAGCAGAGAGTTGGACTCAAGGAAGTCTGTCAATCTCGCATACACAATTCTTTCAAGGATCTTGGATGCAAAAGGCAGTAGCAAGATAGGACGATAGTTGGATGGGGAGTTAGGGTCAAGATTGGGCTTCTTTAGAATTGGGGTTTTATATATATATATATATATATATATATATATATATATATATATAAAAAATTAACATTTATATATTTTTTTTCTCCTGGCTTTTGGCTCTGCTCCTAATTTGCTGTACACTGTAGAGAAAGGCTCCACAACTTCCTTTTGCAGAATAATATGGTTCTTATTAGACACATCCTACAATACCCTGGAGTATTGCATGCAAAGGAAATATGAACCAAACAAATTAATTTCTATTCTTTACTTAGATATATGATATTGAAGACCAGGAAGCATATAAAATATATTGAGACTAAGAATGAAATGGTTTGTCTGTGTGAACAAGCTTGACATGTAGTTATGGGTATTGTAGGAATAATTGTGAGACAAAATATTACAAATAATATTTGTGGACAGTATGCACAGTGAATGTGAAGAGATTCACATTGGCACCTCAAGTGGTTTTAAATCTAATAAACGCAACTTGTTTGAGATGTATTCCAATCAAGTAAAACAAATATATTTTTTCCATGCATGTTGTGGGATTACACTTGCAATCAAAATACTCTGGTCTGTAAATCATTGGCTGGGTGTGATGAGAACAAGGTTCAGTTTAGGTACCCTCCTTGAGATTTAAAAAAAAAAAAACAACAATCCACTTCCCAAATACAAAATAAATAAAATTCACTGTTTTGGTTTAAATCTGTGTAATTAAAAAATAAATAAACCCCTTTGCACCCCCTCCATCACATCCCCTCACCCCCTGCACAGCTGAAGAACCCCATCAGTCGCTTACCTGAATCCAGCGCCCACAGATGTCAGCCGGCGGGTAGACCTAATGCGTAATAATTACCACTATAGGATTGTAGGGTAAGGTAACATGGGACATTGCACCCAGACCACTTCAATGAGCTGAAGTCGTCTGGGTGCCTACAGTGTCCCTTTAAATGTGTGAGTATGTTAAATAAAAATCAGCCTCTTCCCTTCTCCATACCTCCTATCGTTAAGAAGATGCCCCTAAGATGCATATTGGTGTTATGCCCCTTCTACTTCTGCCAATGTTAGAGAGGCAACACAAAACCCACGTAACAATTCTATAGACCAGGGGTAAGCAACCTTCAGCAGTGCAGATGTTTTGGACTGCGTCTTCCATAATGTTTTACCAGCATTAAGGCTGTAAGAGCATTATGGGTGATGTAGATCACAACACCTGGAGTGCCAGAAGGTTGCTCACCCCTACTATATGAAGAACGTGTCAGATGTCAGGAACATGGCAAAATATTTTTGATGTTTCTCAAGAAATGTTGTTTTCACTTGTAAGAATGATTGCATTTATTTAAGCAATCAATTTATGTTAAAAAAAAATAAAAATAAAAAGGAAAACGTGCCAACTTTAATTATAATGGCATTTTAAAGGGTACCTTGACGTTTGTTTTCTGCATGGTCCCCAGGGATTTGTGGTGTGACCGTACAGACCAAGCATCAGTTGCCAATCCACACCTCACTAATCATTTCAACTATTCACTGGTTTTACGTACAATTGCATAATCTATGCAGATGTTGGGATCAAACTGAACTTCAAAATCAATTTAAAGGCTCATTGTTCTATTTCAGTATCTAAAACCTTTGAAAAGGTCATTGAATGCAAAGATTGACATGTCTCCAAGAGGAGAAAATGTAGGATTTTGAATTACATAATTGATTTTAATTACTTAATTACAGTGTTTAAATGGGTAGGGGTAAAGGTTACTCTTGCATTCTCTAAGCATGGGGGGTTACCTGACATTAACCCTTCAGGAGAAAAGTAGGGGGTCATTTAATTCTTCACACACCTCTCTGGCACCTACAGACCTGTCTACGTTTTATCACTTTGTTTTTCACCCGTAATTCCTTTCCTCATCCCAACTATCCATTGACCTTGTGCATCTAAAGCACTGAATTAAAATCGACCTTTTAAAATAGGTCATTGACTTTTGGCACCAATTTAGCCTTATTTGTCAATGCAATCAAATACTTATTGTCAGTGTTTAAGGCTATTTTTGCTGGATATTTTTATTAGGCAGATAATTAACTCAATTGGAAAGGGAAAACACAATTCTGAGTTAATGGGATCTCCTACTATCCTTTAAAAAAATACCACTTAACTTAGCATACCTTATGAGCCATTTTACCGATTTTAGATTTTTACAACTATGCCTATTTTCAAATCAAAATAGCCTATATTCAAAGTCATGTTCTTCAATGAGATCTGACAAGTTGTTTGTTTGTTTTTAGCTCATCTAGTAGACCTTGATTACAAATGGAAAAAACCTTCTACTCAGAAAATGATATTTCTGGAAAAAAAAAAAAAAAGATTCAAAATTGCTCAGAGCCTATAGTAAAACACATAGTATTAAAAACTTAGGACATTTCACATAAAAATTGATCAATTCACAAAATTAGCATAAAATGCTAGAATAGTAAACACATCTAACAAGTCAACAAGTATGGGCACCTTGGGATGATTACAACAAGCAAGTACCTCTATCAGCAATCACACCATTCATGTGCCTCACCACTATCCTCATTCAACCATTGTTATTCTCCCTTTCCCACCCACTCCCATAGTTTATTTTGTTTTTGTATAAAATAAATAATGCTAAAAAGGTTATGTGAACTTCAAACTTGTCCAGTGATGATACAACTCATTGATCTAAACATTGTTAAATTGTTTGCCTACTCATTATCTGTGATGTACCATTTTTTTTGGTGCAACCTATAAAAACTATAGGGTACACCAATAAAGAAATAAATACTAAATAAGAAAATAAGAACACTGGTAATAAAAATGAATATAAAATACAGATACCTTAATTTGGATTGGTTCTATTTGTTTAATAAAGGTGTATTGGCTACTTTACCATAGTATTGTGCCATATTCCTTGTTTTTTATTACCTGGCATCCTGTTTTACACCTCCAGCAAGGAACTCACCAAGAATCCAAGATGGGGATTATACCACCTACGCCAAGCATGTCAAACTCGCGGTTCACAATGGACATCTTTGCGACCGGGCGCGCTGCAAGTGCATGCTTAGTGTTAAAGCAGAGTAGGCACCTGCTTTCTCCACATAGCAGGCCTACTCTGCTAAAGGTTACCCGGCCTTGGAGCAGAGGTTGCTGGCGGCAGCATG